CCTGATGACCGTGTGCTGGTAACGAGTGTTGTTCTTGCACCAGCGGGCGTCTCATTTGACTTGGGACATACACTAACCCTTTGTATCGAATCAATCTTTGTTCGTCGATGGTGAAGTCGCCTTCGACTTTGGACAAGACTCGCTTGGCGCATTTGTCTGTTGCGTAAGCTTTCTTGAGTCTTTCCTCGAGTTCTGTATCTTCGATGACTGAGATCGTCGCTAGTAACTCGTTGTACTGTATTCCTGCATCTGTTTTCTTCAGAATTGCTCTAGGTCTTTCTTCCTTTGGGCTGGCGTAGTCGGTCCGTCTGCTGAGAGCATCTGCTCTTGCATTCTCGGAGCCCTTGCGATAGGTTATCGTGAAGTTGTAGGCTGCGAGGGTTTCTGCCCAGCGGACTTGTCTGCGGTTTAAAACCTTGGTCGTGGTGAAATATATGAGGTTCTTGTGATCCGTCCATACCTGCACATGGTAGGTGGATCCCTCAAGATATACTCGCCACTGCTCAAAGGCAACGACAATAGCCAGTAGCTCCTTGTCGTGGATGTCGTAATTGAGTTCCGCGGGTGACAGTTTCCTAGAGTAGTACGCGATTGGTTTGAACTTACCGTTCTCGTCTGGTTGATTCAGACATGCTCCAATTGCGAAGTCAGAAGAGTCCGTTTCGAGGATGATCTTCTTTGCAGGGTCAAATGTAGCAAGGATAGGTGCTTCCGTGAACTTCGTCTTAAGTTCCTGGAAAGCAGCCTCTGCCTTGTCCGTCCATTTGAATTCGAGATCCTTTCTGGTAAGCTCCGTGAGTGGTTGAGCTACCTTGGAATATCCCGAGATGAATCTTCGGTAGAAGTTGGCGAAGCCTAGGAAGGCTTGCACTTCCTTGACCGTGGTCGGTGTTGGCCATTCCAACACTGCCGTTACTTTTGCTTGGTCCATCTTGATGCCGTGCGTTCCGATAATGTAACCCAAGAATTCGACTTGGTTTTTATGGAACTCGCACTTCTCTGGTTTGAGGAGTAAGCTGTACTCCTTTAGTTTCTTCAGGACGAGTTTGACATGCTTGACATGCTCCTCCTTGGTTGCTGAATACACCAGGACATCGTCTAAGTAGACAATGGTAAAGATGTCTAAGTATTCGTGCAAAGCATCATTCATCAGTCGTTGCATGGATGCGGGTGCGTTTGTTAGCCCAAAGGGCATGACTTGATACTCGAATAGGCCATAGCGGGTGCGGAATGCTGTTTTCCACTCTTCCCCAGCCTTGATTCGGATCAGGTTGTATGCTCCTCGCAGATCTAGCTTACTGAAGATCTTTGCTCCTTGAAATCTATCGTGTAGTTCGTTGATTAATGGCAGGGCATACCTGTCCTTGATTGTGATGTTGTTCAACGCTCGATAGTCCACACATAACCGTAGGGAGCCGTCTTTCTTTGGTACGAAAAGCACCGGACTTCCTGCGGGTGATGTGGATGGTTTGATGAATCCTTTTGCTAGGTTATCATCAATGTACTCCTTGAGTACCTTTAGCTCTTTTTCTGATAGCTGATATATTGGTCCAAACGGTGGACTCTTGTCTTTCTCTAGGGGTATCTCGTGATCCCATGGTTGGTGCTTAGGAAGCGCCTCGTTCTTAGGGCCTTCCTGGAATAATTGCTCGTATTCCTTGTACTCCACCGGTATACTCGTCGGTGAGGATGCCTGGGCTAGGTCATCGAGCACGGAGGTTGCACATAACTCCTTCCGGCCCTGGGAGGGTTTCTCCCGTTGTCGCGTGTCCGTCCGTTGTTCACACGCGCACTGGCTCATCACAACTTTCTCGTTCCACCAGTCGATCTGGGGGTTGTGTTTCTTGAGCCATGGCACACCAAGGATGCACGCATGGTTGTCCATGTGCACGATGTCAAACTGAATCGTTTCCTTGTGCCCGTGTAGCATGACCATTTCCAATGGGACCGTTTCGTGGGTCACCATTCCTTCATTAGTCGAGATGGGCTCTCCATCTACGACCATTAACGGGTATGGTTCGGTTTTCAATTGCGTCTTGAAACCTTGCATGTCTGCTACTTTCTTTGTCATAAAGTTGCCCGTCGCTCCTGAGTCAATCATTGCTCGGAGGTGTTGCTGTTGTATCTTAGCGACCACATATAGTTGCATGCTGCCCGTCGTGGCGCATAGCTGGTCTGTACTAGGCCTCTTCGTGTCGCTCGCCGGTGGCCTACCGTCGAGGACTCCTAGTTTTTTGACTCGTCCGAGGAAGGATAGTATTCATCCGCTTCCAATGGTGGTCCTTGGGGAGATCGTTTCCCTCGCTCTTCTGCTTCGTCTAGCAGATGTGGGTATTTCTCGTATACCTGTTCACTTTTGATAGGCAAGTCCCCTTCAGACTGGCTTCGCCTGAGGGCGTGAACTTGCTCTGCGTCTCTGAAGTGTATCCTGGGCGAGGATCGGGGAAACAACTGATTCTGGTGTTTCTTTTTCCAGTGGAGCTTGCAGTCATCTTCGCTGCAATACTCCCAGTAGACATACGCGTGCCAGGGATGATCAGTCTCTGTTGCGTCTGTCGTTGATAGTTCCCGCTGTCCTCTCACCCATGCACTATCTTCCCTCGGAGGCATGGAGAACGTGTCTAGTTGCTCCATGGCTCTCCTTTCGATGCGTGGAGTGGGTCTCGCATTTTCCCGTCGCAGCATACCTCTGGCTTTCTCGTCGTACTTCTCCAGGGCTCTCCTGCGGTCCTGGTAGTAAAGTTCGACGCTTTTCATATTCTTCAGTTTAGCCATATGCTCGACATCCTTCTCCAGTTCTTCCGCTTCTTGGGCTTCCAACTTAGCTACGTCTGGGGACGTGCCAAGCAGCCTGCGGGTATTCGTTAGTTGGTCGTAGTATCTCCAGAGGTCATCCTTGCAGTCGTCCACCTTGCACTCTAACGGAAGTCCCTGTAACAGGTTCCCGTAGATGCCCTTAAGCGTGGGGATTCTCCTCTGGCCGCTGGGCTTGTCTCGTTCGGCCCTAATCTTCGCGTGGGCGTGTTTTGCCATGCGTCTTACTACGCCCTTACACCGTGGACTCATTGGTTTCATAGGTGCGAGTTCGTCGAAGGTCTCCTGTTCCGAGACGGTGAACGATTCCGCCTCCGACCCTTCATCTGAGCTCTCGTCTTCTGGGGTGCTTTCGCCGTTTATTCCCCAGTCCTGTTTGCTCACAAACGTTGCGTTCAACTGTCCTGTCCAGGTGGCATTGAGTTTTTTGCCGACTTTGCGTCCGCCGTTCCCTTTCTTTGGCTGTCTGCAGTCTCGGGCCATATGGCCTGGCTTGTCGCAGTTAAAACAGAGTCGTTCCTTGAATTGTCTGTCTTTCTTAGGGTCACGGGGTCGTCCAGGTTTGAACGTGGCATCGAGTTCCATTGGGTCCGACCAACGGTTGTCTCGCGGGTGTTGATCCCGTCGTCTGCCCTCGTTTCCCCGGTAGGGGTAACTTTTCTTGGGCTTGTCATAGGTCCGACGTTCCTTCTGGAATTCGTATAGTCGATTGTCGATTCGGACCGTATGTTCGATTAGCGCTACCATGTCCGTTGGTTGTTGTTCCAAACGGGCAAGTTCCATATGTATATGGCTCTTCAGCCCACGTCGGTAGTGGCTGATGAGTGCACTGGCGTCCCATCCTGTCTGATTGCCGTATCTCTGGAATTCTGTGGAGTACGTGAGGGCACTGCCAGTCTGCTTAAGTGCAAACAGATGGTCTTCCGCGGTCTTAATCTCATTGATGTCTCCGAACATGCGTCGGATTTCCTTACAGAATCCTTTCCAGCTGCCAAACATAGTCTGCATAGTTGCCATGCTTCCATTGGTACTCTCATATTTGAAATAATCCTTGAGGAATGGTTCGATCCATCGCAGGGCTTCCCCCCTAAGGTAGGACGCAGTCCACAGGGCATAGCTCTCCTGGGTGGGAAACTTCTCGTCATTGAAGTGCTGGTACAGTTCGACCTGTAGCAAAAACACCTCAAGTTCCTTTCGGTTGCCGGAGTAAGTGTCGGGCAACTTGACGCGTAGAGTTTCCTTGAGTTCGTTGACGGTGGGTGCGTCGGGCATCTCTTCATTCTCAGGCTTAGACCTCTGAGACGAAGTTGGCGTGGTGGGGGTTTTCCCCTTCGAACTGACGACAGACATGTTGCTTTGTGTATGAGCCAGTGCCTCGTAGAAGTGGTGCTCAAAGTGTAACGCTGACTTCTAAACAATAGAAGACACAGAGGTTCTCTTGCGTAAAGGTTTACTTATCAGAGGAGGCAGGGGATCAGACACAAAGGCTTCAAGTAACACGTTACTAGTATATAACAAATACTGTATTGAGTTGAGCACGAAGCTCCTATCTAAGGAAATACTATCTACTTATATAGTGGCGTCGTGCCTAGTGGACTCCTGGGAACTCACTCGAGTTCTCGGAGTCCTGGACTCTTAGGATTCTTCTCATCATCCTGCGAGTCCATCACGTGCCTAGTGGACTCCTGGGAACTCACTCGAGTCCTCGGAGTCCTGGACTCTTAGGACTCTTCTCATCATCCTGCGAGTCCGTCACGTGATACTTTCGGAACTACTATTCCCCGCTGCCCCTCCAGGTACCAGGGCCGGTCTTGTAAGGACACAGGGAATACGGCTCTCCGTAGGTGCATATGGGAGTGCGAGTCGGAGGTGATGCTGTATTCTATCCTATAGGTCTACTACGAAGGATACAAAAAAGATGAAAGGGGAGCTTATAGCTTCCTACCCCTTATGTACCTAAATGGGGTCCGACTCGGCTAGGCCTTAGCGTACCGGTAGATCCACTCCCGTCTGCCGCCCGAATCGACCCCGACCCTAGAACATCTATGCTGCTATACTACTATGTCGCCTATTCCGCGTTGTCTTACGGGTCCGAGGGTACCCCGTGTAAGGAGGTATCCTTACATTACCCCCCCCCTTGAGAGAGTGCTTTGTCCTCAAATCGCGTGGCTCCGTGTGCCGACCGAATGGTAGCCGAGTGTCGGTATGGTCTAGGTAGTCTTTGTTCGAAGATCGTGGTGCTGAATGCGTCCGTGGGATGGATCGCGGAGCGTGCTTTGTTCCTAATAAAAGCGGATTGTTGAGGTCCGAGTTGGCACCGTATAGTATCCAGTTGTGGTGTTGCGCGTCGCGAGTTTCTTAGTTACTGTGCGCGCGCTACTACTCCTCAGAAATTCATTGTTCTAAGCGGTTGTTATGGAGCAACCGATTCCACCCAGGATTCGAAGGCTTCTTTTTACAACAACACCGCCTACGAACCCACCTCCCGAATCCAGTAAGTAGCCCCTCTTGTTCGTATACTGTATACTAATCTGATTGTTTCATAGGAAACAAAACAAACCAGACGACCAAGTAGGTGATGATTGCGCGCCGACGCGTAGGTGATAACTTCTGGGCTTGGGGCTGACGGTTTTGTAGGAAACCTTTTCGCGAAGATGCCCGTCCTGCTGCCCCCCGGGGCCCTCCCGGCTGCGTACCGCGTCCTCTGTATGAGATGCGTGCGCCGTATTGGGACACCCGACGATGCTCCCATGGAGCACGAGTGCGTTTGGAGCGAGAAAAGCTCCAAGTGCGCCTACTGCGTGAAGCAGAAGGCACCATGTGTGCCGGTGAGTTCTCGGGTGCTGTTCGGTCTGGTGGTTGGTTTCCTGTGCTGACTTTCTGGGGGATAGATTCTCTGGTTCCTCGAGGAGGAATATGCCGCCATCGTCGCCGCCGAAGCGGCCACCCCTCCCGTCCTGGCCACCACCCTCAAGACCTACAAGGAGGTCGCGCGCATGGCCGACCTCTCCAGCGCCGCCATGCCGGCCCTGCGCTCCCCCTTTGAGGGGGCGCAGTACATTCAGGGGCTGGCCACCCTCGCTGCCATCAAGGTAAGTTTTCCCCTTTCTGTTGTTCTTGTTCTGGGTCTGACTCCTAGGTAGGACCTCGCCGCCGCGGTGGAGGGGTTGAAGGAGGATACGGGGAAGCTCCTCGCGGGGCAGGCCCACGCCGTCTCCTTGCTGGGGACGGTGGATAAAACCACCGACAAGGTGGGGAAGGAGGTGAGCTTCGTGGCGACTGCGGTCGCGAAGGTGGAGAAGGCGGTGGGGAAGTTGGCCGGGGCTGTTGCGGTGGCTCCCCGCAATGGCGGGAAGAGGAAGAGGGGGGAGGAGGAGGAGGGGAATGGGGAGAACCCGATTGGGTGAACGGGCCCTGTGCCGGAGGGAACTCGGGCGTGGTCTTTCGCGTGGGGTCACTTCGACCCTTCGTCTCTCATGGTGGTAGCCGCTTGTTGCGACGCCGGTGAGACGTTTGGGAAGGGTGGCTTCCGCAAGGGCTACGGCTCTGAGGGTGCCCTGGCTTAGAGGGTGTTTAGTTTAGTGTCGTAGGTAGCAACGACGCTGTTTTCCTCTGCTTTGCCGTGCCTCTCGTGATCGTAGCTTGGTTTGCCTGTCTCCCATTCCGTGATCCAGCCGGGTAGGTCCTGCGGTGGTCCTGGCAGGTTTGGGTACTCCGCGTGGAACTCCCGGATTTTGTAGGGGGAGTTCTTAAAGTTTGAGGCGGGGTACCATTCCGGGTCCGGATCGTATCCGACCCAGGATACCTGGTATTGAAGTTGTTTTCGCCGGATCCTTACGGCGAGGATCTTTTCGACCTCCCACTCCTCTAGGCCGTCTACGACTTCGCTGCTTGGCTCAGGCGCTGCTTGACCGGGCAGTGGGTTATTCGGAGCCTTGATGAGTACGTCTGGAGAGAAGACATCGTGTATTTGGGAACCCTTCGGTAGGTCTAGTCGGAAGGCGTGTCTGATTTGTTCCAGTACCGTATAGGGTCCGACCCATTGTTGCCCCAGCTTACGGCTAGGGCGGTGATTTTTCAGATTCTTGGTCGATAGGTAAACCTTGTCTCCTACGTCCCAGTCAATGGCTCGTCGGCGTCGATTCGCGTATTTAGACATATCCTCTTGTGCTTTGGCCATGTTCTCCTTTGCGTAAATCCATGCGGAGTGCATGCGGTTTGCTACTGCTTTGGCTTCCTTCTGGTTCATGACTTCCCTAGGGGTCGTGGCTTTCGGGGTTTCCCAGTCCCAACTGGTGCGCGGATCAGTTCCGTACTTGAGTCGGTAGGGGGTCATTCCGATCGAGGCATGGGGAAGGGTCATTTGCACCCGATCCATGATGGGAATGAGCTCGCTCCAGTTATCCTGGTAATGTGATACGAAGGGCCTCAGTCTCTGATCGATATACCGATTCATGATTTCCGTCTGCCCGTCGGTCTGCTTGTGATAGGCTGTCGACAGCTTGATCTTGACGCCGATGATCCGGCAGAACTCGTGCCAGAAGGATGACACGAATTGGGGTCCGCGGTCACTGACGATCGATACCGGGGTGTGCCCGAATCGATATATCCATTCGATGAACAGCTGCGCCATTTGTCGTGCATCTGTAGTCTTATAACACGGTATGGTCACCGAACTCTTCCCGAGGCGGTCCATAAACACTAGGATGCTGTCGTACCCGTGCTTGTCCCTTGGGAACTCCTTGAAGTCCATCGTAAGGTGTTGCATAGGGTAGTCGGGTACCGGTAGGGGGTGTAGAAAGCCCTGTTGCTTTGTGACATTGGTGTGCGAAAGGCGGCATGTCGCGCAGTTACGCACATACCGTATGCAGTCCGCTTCCATACCGACCCAGCGATACTTCTGGGCAAGCAACTGGTAGGTCTTCCGGCCGCTGGGGTGCGCCGTCGACACCTGGTCATGCGCCTCTCGGATGAGTTTCGTACACAGCTCGGTGTGGCGGTTCACACATAGGCGGTCTTTGTACAGGAGGAGTTGGTCGGCTAGGGCGTACCCATCCGGTAAGGGTTGTTTCGCGCGTGTCTCGGCGAACGACTTCCGGTTGTCTACGCATAGTGCCTCGATCAGATCGAAGGGCATCTGCGCCTTTGGGGGGTCGATGGCATTGATCGATGCTACATAACTGTCGGCCAACTCGGCACTGATACGGGGGTGTAGGCGGGCAGGGCCAAGCAACACCCTCGCACGACTATCCAACTTGACTTTCTGTTGCATTACGAGGTCTTGGTCTCTTCGGCTCAGAATATCAGCCTTCAGGTTATTCTTACCTGCCGTATACGTAATGTGGAAGTTGAAGTCGGATAGTAGTTCCATCCATCGCACCTGCTTCGCGGTGAGAACCTTCGTCGTCATGAAGTATTCGAGCGAGCGGTGGTCCGTATACACCTCGACTCGCTGCGTAACAGAGGCCAACTCAGGTCTCCATTTCGCGAACGCTTTCACGATGGCGAAGAGTTCTTTGTCATGGATTTCCCAGTTGATCTCATGGCCGGTAAGGACGTGGCTGTAGAAGCTCACTGGGTACCAGAGCTGGTCCGGGTGCTCTTGTGATAGCACGCCGGCGACGACTCCGTCTGAAGAGTCGGTCTCTAGCTTCGTAGGCAATTCGGGGTTGAAGTGGTGTAGTGCCTGCACCGCTAGTAGCTGCCGCCGTAATTCTTCAAAGGCGTTCTCACATTCCTCAGTCCATAGGAACGGCTCCGAGGGGCTCGTGATGGTAGTCAGGGGCTTCGCGATCTTCCCGAAATTGCGTATGAACTGGCGGTAGAACCCACAGAAGCCTAGATAGGATTTCACACCGGTAACGGTGGTCGGTCGAATCCAGTTTCGAAGGGGTTCGATCTTGTCGGGGTCCGCCTCGACACCGGAAGTGGTCAGTATGTAACCCAGGTACTTAGTTCGGGTAACATTGAACTCGCACTTCTTGAGGTCGGCTTGTAGCCCTGCCTCACGAAGGCGCTGTAGGACTTTGTGTACGTGCTCTATATGTTCCGTAATCGCCGCACTTTGGAAGCGGGCTTTGAACTCGGGGAAGGTTTCGTGTAAGTGACCCTTTTCGCCCATCTGCATATCGTCGAATTCGTTCCGGGCCTGTTCGGTCTCATTACCCGTAAGGTAATATGATCCTAATAGGTCCATCATTTCGTCTGCGCTCTGGAAGCCATGCGTATCCGATAGGTATTGGGGTTCCAGATATTTCTTTGCCAGGCCGGTCGTAGTTCCCCATATCAACGCTCTTCTCGAGACGTCGGTAGGGTAGTGATCCTCATTGACTACAAGTCGGTCCCGAATGGACGCGCTCCATTGCATAAAGGTATGTTCTATCCCATCGCTGAGCGGCGTAATCTTCTCAGAGATGGTGGATTTCTTGTAACGGTTCGGAGGGTCCACGGTGTACTGTCGGGGTAGACCCGGGATTGAAGGAGAGCGCGCATTGTCGACAGGTGGCAGTCGAACGGTGCCGGGCGTGTTTCGCATTGTCGGTGCAGGCTGTTCGTCTTCGTCGGCCTCAATGGTGCGCACTGGGGCGTCGGCAGCCGGTGGTGGCGTAGACGGTATTCGGGTCTGGCTAGCTACGAGGCTGGCTACCATCGCCTTGAGCTCCCGCATCTCGTTCTCCAGGTTCGCTATGCGATCCGGGGGGCTTTCGGATGGTCCTGCGGTCGTGCCCGCTGTGGCGGTTTGCCTAGTTGTCATTCGTAGCGGTTGACCGTCATTATCGGGTGGTGGGTTTTGTGTCGTCTTGCGCGACATCTTGATTCGGGGGTGTATCGACTCGCAGTCGATACGGAAGAGTCTGACTTCCGGTAGCTCGTAGCTATCAGCACTCTTGTTCACAATTGCCTCTGTGCTAAGGGGGTTCTTTAGGATCTCGTATCCTATTCGGCGCCAACGCGTCGGCGACTTTACCAGCTTGTTCTGAAGAATCAAACCCTGATCCACTGGCTGTCCGTGAGATCTCTGGAATCACGGCTATTTGAAGTCGTCAGGTCTCTACTCCGAAACATTACCGAGTCGCAGTCGATGGTGCAACGGTAGTTTTCCTGAGTCGTTCCGTTGTGGGATATTATTTAAGTACGGCCGTCCCCGGCAGGCGTGATCTTTTTTGTATAATGTAAGGACACAGGGAATACGGCTCTCCGTAGGTGCATATGGGAGTGCGAGTCGGAGGTGATGCTGTATTCTATCCTATAGGTCTACTACGAAGGATACAAAAAAGATGAAAGGGGAGCTTATAGCTTCCTACCCCTTATGTACCTAAATGGGGTCCGACTCGGCTAGGCCTTAGCGTACCGGTAGATCCACTCCCGTCTGCCGCCCGAATCGACCCCGACCCTAGAACATCTATGCTGCTATACTACTATGTCGCCTATTCCGCGTTGTCTTACGGGTCCGAGGGTACCCCGTGTAAGGAGGCATCCTTACAGGTCTCATGCGACCTCCCTCCTTCCTGTCCTGTAGTTGGCCAGCCTTCTTGTTCCGTTGTAACACTGGTGCACCCACCATTACAGATAGTATTTCCTTAGATAGGAGCTTCGTGCTCAACTCAATATAGTATTCTTAACAATACTGTAACGTGTTACTTGGAAAGCCTTTGTGTCTAATCCCCTGCCTCCTCTGTCAAGTCAACCTTACGCAAGAAACCTCTGTGTCTTCTATCATTTAGAAGTCAGTGTTACAGCTAGGCTGTAGTGTGACTAGGCTAGTAGATAGTTGTAGAAACTAGTGGATATTAGATAGTTAAGCTATCCATCAACTATCTAGATTATTGTTACGACGGAACAAGAAGGCTGGCCAACTACAGGACAGGAAGGAGGGAGGTCGCATGAGACCGGCCCTGGTACCTGGAGGGGCAGCGGGGAATAGTAGTTCCGAAAGTATCACGTGACGGACTCGCAGGATGATGAGAAGAGTCCTAAGAGTCCAGGACTCCGAGGACTCGAGTGAGTTCCCAGGAGTCCACTAGGCACGTGACGGACTCGCAGGATGAGAGAAGAGTCCTAAGAGTCCAGGACTCTGAGGACTCGAGTGAGTTCCCAAGAGTCCACTAGGCACGACGCCACTATATAAGTAGATAGTATTTCCTTAGATAGGAGCTTCGTGCTCAACTCAATACAGTATTTGTTATATACTAGTAACGTGTTACTTGAAGCCTTTGTGTCTGATCCCCTGCCTCCTCTGATAAGTAAACCTTTACGCAAGAGAACCTCTGTGTCTTCTATCGTTTAGAAGTCAGCGTTACAATTATCTAGCTATCTATCAAATATCTAGACTATCTATCAGGCACAATGCTACTATTTGCTAATTACTTAAGTAGGGTGATGCCTACTTAATTGCTAAGTAGGTTATGCTGCTTATTATGTCTTCTAGTAGACACACAAAAATCAAAGAACGTCATCTTCTTATAGACTATATCAAAAAGAATAGCAACCTAATGTCGCTATGTTCTAGCTGTCTTCATAACAAATGATCTTGTATCGTTGTTGCTAGTAATCGTCGTTATAGCAAATGTCTTGATTGCAATTCTAAATGTAACGCTTACACCCCTTCTCCTACTAATTAGGAGAAGCTTTATAAAGAAGAATAGGCATCTTAAGGCTAAAGAGGAAGGAGCAGCATCTTAGGAACTATGCCCAAATAAGCTTAGGATCTTCACATAAGTCTCTTTAGAAGTTATAAACGCAATTAAAACGTGTCTTTAGCTCTAGGCGACGTTGTATAAACTATATGCCCATTATGTCCTAACACGTTTCCCCCCCTATGAATATGGCAATATAATTTGCTATATCTTCTACACTAGAAGGCTGAGGTGTAAACCCTTGTAGATTATAGAGAGTGTCTCTAATGACTCTAAGAGTAACAACCCACAGCTATCACCTATAGTGTATATGCTATAGAATAAGTCAGAAAAGCTCTCTATAGAATAGGATGAGTAGCTAAGGGCAAGTAAGGTAAACTAGATATAAGTGTTATGAGTTATGGTGTTCTTCGATTCTTTATAGGTATATAGGCAGCGATAGGGAGATATTAGATGGGTGTACTTGCGTCCATATCTAATATATTCCGAACAATCACTTCCTCTTCTAGTTCAGTTAATTTATAACAATTGTTTCAGCACGAGGTGTTCGGCCGGCCATTCTATTAGATAGTGTCGTGTACGGGACTTTGTAGATTTTGGCAGCAGAGCGACGACTAAGTTTTTTTGATGAACGAATAGCTTCGATAGCTAGAACGATTCAAGCTTCTTGGGTTTTGAAATTCCATTTGTAGTTGTGGAGAAAACGCGTGTTAAAGGTAGTGGGGTGGGGAAAAGTGATCGACTCGGTGTCATGATCGACTCGGTGTACAACCACGTTACTCTTTGCTGACTTGACATTAACCTGTAAGTGATATGTTCGATATGGGATGTGCGGGGACCCTAGGACAAACCCTGACTCCACTTACTCAACCATCCCGCATAAGTTGCTTGGGAACTATTCGCCGTTGCGCCGGAATAGATGTCTTGCATACCCATAGTTTGTAGGATCGTTTTTGCAAGTTTCCAAGTAGCACAGACTTGATATTATAGGCTGCAGATCTATTTTCCTAGTCACAAGGTTCTTGTGTAGCCAATCTTGGGAGATCCTCAAATTTCACAAGCCATCATCGGTTCCACAGTCTTGTTAGTCCTCGTAGATGTGATTCCTCGGTCTCAAGGTGGCAAGATTCGATCGCTGAAAGCAACGTATAGTCGTAGATTTCCTGGGATTAGGTCGATATTCGATCGTAATACATACGCATAATACATACGCATACTTACGACTGACCTCAACTTGAACAACGGGAACCACGAGAGACTCTCACAAAAAGTCATTATCCACCATACAGACTTCTTCCCGTTCCAAACATGTCGTCTTCAAAACCAGAACTTCCAGCCACAGAACCAGCGTACGATCCTAGGTTGGTCAACGCTTTTTTCTCCTTCCCTACTTCTCTCCAGCATTTTTTCCTCTAAACTAACCCGTCCTCAGTCGCCCTCTGGCGGACGTCAAATGTCTCTACAACCACCTCATCCCAAACGCCCCTGGAAAATCCGTCGTGTCCTACCTAATATCACAACCTCCCAACGGATCCACCCCACCACATACCCATGCCGGTGCATTCGTCAGCGCCTATATCCTAACAGGCCATATGCTCAACGGGATGAACAAGGAACCGATGGAGCTTCTGGGACCCGGAGATAGCTTTAGTGAACATCCAGGATGCCATCATAGGCTTAGCGAGAACGCGTCCGCAACAGAACCAGCAACTTTCATTGCGACGCTGGTGGTTGATACGAAAACGGTGGAGGAGTTAGGAGTGGAAGGCCTGACGGTGATTGATGACGGGTATTTGGAGATAATTGCAAAGGCACAGAAGAAGGTTTGAGGGAGGATAACAAAATAGAAAACAAACTGTGGCCTTCTGGGTTTCGTGCCATCGATTGTGGCTTTTCCTAATGCGATATGCTGTGAACGGCTTTCGTGTAGATAGTACATGGATTATATAATCGTCTCGTTATCTATCAATATCAACTAATATATCTCCGTATCTGCCTCATCTACACCCCAAACAGCCCATTCAACCACCTCCCAACCCCATCATCACGCCCTCCCAGCACTCCGCGCCAATCCAAAATCTCGTGCACTTTCCTCCCCACTAGCCCCTCCGCACGCTCGCCCTCTCCATTGCGGATTTCTGCCTCAGCGATTGCGCCATTGCGCGCTCTGAACAGCACCGATGCCGCCGCAGGGACGTAGGATGGCCGTAGGGGACGGTCGCGGGGGTCCTCCTCCGTCGGGTGGGAGGAGAATGTGAACTGCGGCGTCTGGAGGTATATCCAGTCCTCAGACTATCGTTGTTAGCATCGCCATGCCATCACGGCGTTAATGAACATACCTTCAATTCTTTCACACCCTTTCTGATCTCCTCCACCCTCTCAATCTCTTCTTCTCCAACCTCCACAACCTCAACCCTCCCATACATCTCCTCAAATTCCCCCACCACCGCCCCCTCGAACTCTCCATTTCCAACGCGCACATTCGCAATCGGCGAACTCACGCTATCCACCCCGCGTGCCAGCATATACCCCTTCCCTGGCGAGCGAAGATACGCCCCTATCCCCCCTATATTCGGCGAACTGAGCAGACACGTCCCATGATGGAGGGACCGCAGCCGCGTCAACTTATACGCCGATCCAGACACCTTCCTATGCGTTGGCGTCACGGGTCCCGTAGCTGCAGCGTTGGTCGTGATGTTTGCTTTCTTGCTTCGTGGGATGGGAGGGGGCGACACGTCAAGCACAATGTCGTGTCGGGCGTTGAGGGCCGCCCGTGTCGCGCCGAGGGAGTGCAAGGCCCTCACGACCATGTGAGCGTGCTTGTCGCGGTCAAACTCAGAGGTTGGGCTGATGACGCAGTAGTTTACGTTGCCCTCGTCGTGAAAGACGGCGCCGCCTCCGGAGCGGCGACGGACGAGGGAGATGTCATCTTCCGAGGCGGATGACGGGGTGTTCCGGAGGAGTGAGAGGTTGGTTTCCACCCAAGGATTTTGGTTGCGGCCTATGATGAGGCTGGGCCTGTTGGTATAGAGGAAAAGGACGCTGGAGGTTGGTGGGGTGGACTGGAGTAGGTAGTGCTCCAGGGAGAGGTTGAGGTACGGGTCGGTGCTGCGGGATATGTAGATCTGGGTCTGGCGCGCCGGATCCGTCGCGAGGTCGGGGATGGAGGTGTAGGAGCGGGCGAGTCCATGCTGACGCTGAAGCCTGTATCGAAATGTCGCCGTCGCTGAGCAATTGGCGCGCAAGAGCGCGGCGATGCCCCTCGAGGGAGCCATGTGGTTGGGAAAATTTTGAGGCGAGGCTGAGGGTTTTGGATGACGAGGCGGAGGACGGAGTTGCGGTCTGCAGAGCTGAGTTTATCGATGACAGGGGTCCACCCCCACCGATTGCGTCCCGCACATTTTCTAATCGAGTCACCGTTTTGCGGATTTCTAGACACAAAGGTAAGACTACGGCGATTGATATTGTCTTATTCAAGATCACAGTATATATTCAAGATGTCTACATTTGGAGAATACTTCAAGGTCACGACGTGAGTTTGGGCGCCCTAAATGTGACGTGGCGTACCCGATACTAACAGTGCACAGCTATGGCGAGTCGCATTGTCGCTCCGTGGGATGCATCGTCGATGGCTGCCCTCCAGGAATGGAGCTCACCGAAGCCGATATCCAGCCTCAGATGACCCGTCGCCGACCCGGTCAGAGCGCCCTGACGACACCCCGCGACGAGAAGGACCAGGTCGAAATCCACTCTGGAACCGAGTTCGGCGTCACGCTGGGTACCCCCATCGGCATGCTCGTCCGCAACCAGGACCAGCGCCCCAAGGACTATGGAAACTCGACCATGGACCTCTTCCCGCGCCCATCGCATGCCGACTGGACATACCTCGAGAAGTACGGCGTCAAGGCCAGTTCGGGCGGTGGGCGTAGCTCCGCGCGCGAGACTATTGGAAGAGTGGCTGCGGGTGCGATTGCGGACAAATACCTCCGCCTCGCACACGGAATTGAGATCACGGCCTTTGTCTCATCCGTTGGCTCAGTACACATGTTCCCGCCGACGCTAGAGCACCCATCGCCCTCCACGAACCACGCATTCCTCAAGCTCCTCGACACCATCGACCGCGAGACCGTCGACTCCTTCGTCCCCGTGCGCTGCCCCGATGCTGCCGCCGGCGAGAAGATGAAGAAATGCATCGAGGAGTTCCGCGACCGCCAAGACAGCATCGGTGGCACCGTCACCTGCGTCATCAGGAACGTCCCCAGTGGTCTCGGCGAGCCCTGCTTCGACAAGATGGAGGCCATGCTCGCCCACGCCATGCTCAGCATCCCGGCCGCCAAGGGCTTTGAGATCGGCTCCGGCTTCGGCGGCTGCGAGGTTCCCGGCTCCATCCACAACGACCCCTTCGTCAAGGCCCCCGTCGAGACTGGTCCCGAGACAGGTGCTTCGCGTGCTGGTGTCCCAAGGCCCCGCTTGACCACCAAGACGAACAACTCGGGCGGTATACAGGGAGGCATCACCAACGGCGCCCCCATCTACTTCCGCGTCGCGTTCAAGCCGGCAGCAACCATTGGGCAGGCCCAGAACACCGTCACCTATGCAGGTGACGAGGCCGGCGTGCTCGAGGCGAAGGGACGTCACGACCCGTGCGTGGTTCCGCGTGCAGTGCCGATCGTTGAGGCAATGGCCAGCTTGGTTGTCATTGATGCTCTGATGGCGCAGCAGGCGAGGCAGGCGAGCAGGAGTCTGCTGCCACCGTTGAAGCAGACTGTGCCGGTGAAGTCGACGGTGGTGGGTGGACAGGCGGCGGTGGAGAAGGTGGAGGCTAATGATGCGGGGGTAACCAAGGAGTAGAGGTGTAGGGGGGTCTAAAATGGGAAATCTTGGGTATATGATAGATGTGGTCATCGGCGAAATGAAAATGGGATACGATTTGATTGATTGTGTTGTTCGGCTACGTAACTAGCCCGCCAGTCAGTATGTGAACTTTTTGTCAACGAAGGCCTCGTAGAATCCGAGATTGAAACACCTCAGCTTCTCCGTGGAGATAGTTCACGTCCACATAATGAGGCCACAACACCAGAGTATCGCTCGGGTTTCAATTATCAACTTACCGCCACTGTCTTCTTCGGGCTGTTGTTTTGAAGCATGTACCCAATTCAATCCGCTGTTTGTTAGGCCGAATGTTTGTCGCTCTACAGAACATGTTGCACACAATGCCTCTGAAGCACAAAACACCCCCAATAACAACCCAACATTTCAAGAAGGACGATGAAAGTGCTATTTTCGTCTTATTGTGTACATAGTGGTTCCAAACAGTCTGCCTTCATCCCATCCAACCCGTCCCTTTCTATAGATCGTTCCATCACCCAGTACGCGTTTATTGGTTCTTCTTTGTTTGCCAGACTACACCATCGTTAGTTTCATGCTCCGTGTCGCATAAAGGGCATAGGAGCCTTACCAGCAATTCCGAATGGCGCACTGAATCCGAGAGCTGCGGCTCTAGTTAGCAATCTGGCAGTACTTCGGTTGTTCCATCAGGGAAACCTACCCATGAAACCCCAGTATCTCAGAGCGAAGAACTTGGTCAACGGGTTAAATGGCAAGTTGTTCCTCGGGCCCTCAGGGTAATGGTATGGCGAGGCCATCTGCGAGCGGGTAGAGTGGAAGCCACGGCGGGCAGCCATCTGGGCTATCGGGGAGACGCGGGTAGCAGTGCGGGCGAACATCTGGTCGTGTCAGCTTATATACTCTTTATCCCGCGATCTTGAGATCAATTGGGCGCGGATTCGATTGGAGTCCATGGGCTACCTTTGCAGTTGTGTTGCGTGGGGCGAATTGTGTTTCTTTTGGTGATGAAGTCGTTGGATGAGCCGAAGTTGACTGTAGCTTCAAGTATTTTAGCTCCGTCCTGGAAATGACCCATGAATTCTCGCGTAATATTCTGATTGGCTGAACCGACCAATCCAAAAATTCATAGCAGGAGCCGCAATGTGCGATTGCGATAAAAAAATAAAAAGTGAATTGAATCAACCTTTTTGGGCGACAAACCACGACGGATTATAGGATCGGTTCAAGGTCCTGAGATTACTGGCCTATGCAGTGAACTCAGCCACCATGGACGACCTTTTTGACGTCTTCAACGATGCGCCTCAGCGTGTGCCCGGGACTACAGCGCCCAAGAGGGACAAATCGAATAAGAAGGACCGGAGTAAGAAGCGGAATGCCAGCGGCGCCGTAAAGCAGGTTGAGGAGGAAAGGCAGAATGGCGAGGAGGTAGCAGAGGAGGCTGCACCAGAGGCTGAGCCAGAGGAGTCAGAGGAGACGGACGAGGCCATCGAGGCGAAGGATGCCAAGCGAAGGCGTAAGGACGAGGAAGCCGCGCCGGTTGTGACGGACACCTTCGAGACTGCTCAATCGAGAGAAGTTGCTGCCTCTGCAGGGCTCCAGGCCAGCAAGGAGGACGGCGCTCTCGTTTTGCAGCATAACATCCAGCATCAAGTCTCGCTGCCGCCGGACTACGACTACGTTCCCATCTCCCAGCATGTACCGCCCGAGAAGCCCGCGCGGGTATGGCCTTTTGAGCTGGATCCTTTCCAGAAGGTCGCGATCGCGTCTATACAGCGTGGAGAGTCTGTGCTGGTGTCGGCGCATACGAGTGCCGGAAAGACGGTCACCGCCGAGTACGCCATCGCCCAGAGTCTGCAGAACAACCAGAGAGTCATCTACACCAGTCCGATCAAGGCATTGAGCAACCAGAAATACAGAGAGTTCGCCGCCGAGTTTGGAGATGTTGGGCTCATGACTGGAGATGTTACAATCAACCCAACTGCGACCTGTCTGGTCATGACTACGGAGATTCTGAGGTCCATGTTGTATCGTGGCTCGGAGATTATGCGCGAAGTCGGCTGGGTCGTTTTCGACGAAATCCATTATATGAGAGACAAGGCGCGAGGTGTTGTCTGGGAAGAGACCATCATCCTTCTCCCAGATAAGGTCCGTTACGTCTTCCTGTCCGCCACCATCCCCAACTCGATGCAGTTTGCGGAATGGATCACCAAAACACATAACCAGCCGTGCCACATTGTGTACACCGATTTCCGCCCAACCCCACTCCAGCATTACTTCTTCCCCGCCGGCGCAGATGGGATCCATTTGATTGTGGATGAGAAGGGTAACTTCAGACAAGACAACTTTGACAAGGCCATGTCGACGATAGAAGACAAGAAGGGCTCAGATCCGGCCGACATCAACGCAAAGCAGAAGGGAAGAGGAAAGGATAAGAAAACCAACAAGGGTGGCAATAAGGAGACTACCGATATCTATAAGATAGTGCGGATGATCATGGTCAAGCATTACAATCCTGTTATTGTCTTTAGCTTCAGCAAGAGAGAGTGCGAGGCATACGCACTTCAGATGAGCTCGATGGCTTTCAACGACGACTCGGAGAAGGCAATGGTCAGCAAAGTGTTCGACAGCGCTATTGAAATGTTGTCGGATGAGGACAAGCAGCTCCCGCAGATCCAGCATATCCTCCCTCTGCTTCGCCGCGGTATCGGAGTTCATCACTCTGGGCTTCTGCCGATCTTGAAGGAGACCATTGAGATCTTGTTCCAGGAGAATTTGATCAAGGTTCTCTTCGCGACCGAGACCTTCTCGATCGGACTTAACATGCCCGCCAAGACGGTTGTTTTCACGAGCGTGCGGAAGTTTGATGGTGTCTCCCAAAGATACCTGACGCCTTCGGAGTTTGTGCAAATGTCTGGTCGTGCTGGACGTAGAGGATTGGATGATCGTGGTATTGTTATTATGATGATTGACGACAAGATGGAGCCCGCCGTTGCAAAAGAAATAGTCCGGGGAGAGCAGGACAAGCTCAATTCAGCGTTCTACTTGGGATACAACATGATTCTCAACTTGATGAGAGTCGAGGGTATTTCACCAGAGTTTATGTTGGAGCACTGCTTCTTCCAGTTCCAGAACACCTCTGGCGTCTCTGGCCTGGAGAGGGATCTTCAGCAGCTCCAGATTGAGAGGGATGGCATGGAGATTCCGGACGAGACGACTATCAAGGATTACTACGATCTGAGACAACAGCTAGACACCTATTCGAAGGACTTGAAGGCTGTTATCAATCACCCAAATTACTCCCTACCTTTCCTGCAGTCTGGTCGTTTAGTCCACATCAAGCACAAGGGCGAAGACTTTGGCTGGGGAGCTGTTGTGAAGTTCACAGCTAGAAGAGCACCCAAGGGCCAAGTTGTGGAGGAGTACGCCCCACAAGAGTCATATATTGCGGACGTTTTGTTGCCAGTTTCGGAGTCTTCATTTGTCGGCACACAGACCCACCAAGAGATTCCTGCTGGAGTCCACCCACCTAACCAAGGTGAAACCGGAAAGATGGAGATCGTCCCGATACTGCTGTCATGCATCGAGTCGATTGGTCATGTCCGCATCTTCCTGCCAAAGGACCTCAAGGCGGCAGACCAACGCAACACTGTTCGCAAATCGTTGGATGAGGTCAAGCGCCGCTTCCCAGACGGCATTGCAGTTCTTGATCCAATCGAGAATATGGGCATCAAGGATGAGTCTTTTAAGAAGCTCCTCCGCAAGATTGAGGTCCTGGAGTCGCGCCTTCTCTCGAACCCTCTGCACAACTCACCTCGCCTCACGGACCTCTTTGACAAATACGCCGAGAAGATCGAGTTTGGCAACAAGATCAAGGAGAAGAAGAAGTCGATAACTGCTGCGCATGCAATCATGCAGCTGGATGAACTCAAATCCCGCAAGCGTGTTTTGCGTCGTCTCGGTTTCATCAATGACCAGGAAGTCGTCGAACTGAAGGCTCGTGTAGCTTGCGAGATCTCTACTGGTGATGGACACGAGCTCCTTCTGTCCGAGCTCCTATTCAACCGCTTCTTCAACGAGTTGAGTCCTGAACTCTGCGCTGCTGTGCTGAGCTGCTTCATCTTTGAGGAGAAGAGCCAATGCCCTCCACTAAAGGAGGAACTTGCCAAGCCGTTTAGAGAAATCCAGGCACAGGCGAGGATTATCGCCAAGGTGAGCCAGGAGTCAAAGCTGGAGGTAAACGAGGAGGAGTACGTGCAAAGCTTCAAGTACCAGCTTATGGATGTTGTTTTGGCTTGGACGCAGGGGAAATCCTTTGCAGAGATCTGGTAAGTTATCCAATGACGAAGACATGCACATCACTGACGCAAATAGTAAAATGACGGATGTCTACGAAGGATCTCTCATCCGACTTTTCCGCCGCTTGGAGGAGTTACTGAGGCAGATGGCGCAAGCTGGCAAGGTGATGGGATCCGATGACCTCTCGGCCAAGTTTGAGGAGGCTTTGACGAAGATTAAGCGCGACATTGTCGCAGCACAGTCTCTGTACCTATGAGCTTTCCGTTTGTATACAATATGATAGCGTGCATGGGGAAGCGGAGCGGCGTTTCGGGTGTCATCACTACATAGTGGAAGGATAAACTTAGTACAGGGTAGAGAAAAGACATACGGAAGCACATCACAGGTGAGACTATCATAATTCGATTCTCGATCAGAGCGAAATGAATTTTACCGCAAGAGCGTCTGCCATCTTTGTTGTGTTACATGTGTCCCTTCAGCGTCTTGTGATTGTTCACTTTGACTCGGGCTCGTGCTCCTCCACGTTGCCGTACTTGACAACCAGTCCGCCCTCAGTCAAGGGCACTCCCTTTCCTCCATAAACCTCTGGCAACTGGACTCCACATTCGGGAATCTCTCCGGCCAAACTTCCTCCATAGCTCAAAGGGTGGAACTTCTTGATCGTCTCGGCGCTCAAGAACAGCTTCAGAGCAGCAAAGACCCAGCCCATGGCCAAAGGCACGTTGACAAAGAACTTCTCCTTGACCAGCTCTGGGTACGCCATGGCCAAGGTCTGGATTGCCGTCTTGGAAGCGGCACGGACGCTCGGGTTCATGCGGAGGAAGCTGACGTTGAGGTAGTCGTGCACTTGGATCATGCGGTAGGGGTCAGGGCCGCCGTCGGGGATCTTCTCGGTGGCGGAGGCAAGATCGAGCTCCTTGATTGAAAGCTCCATCAGAGCAGTGCGCCATTTGATGAACCTGTAGATGGTTAACACTATATCACATGGGGAGTGTGTGATACATACTCTTCGACATTGTCAAAGGTCCCCTTGATGTCCTTGACTGCTCCGTAGATGTTCCAGGTGATGATTTCCTTCTGGGTACCGGTGGCGTTGTAGGTAGTGACATAGCCAAGGTTTCCGAACTTCTCCTTGTTGTGCTCGACCTCTGTAAGGAGCTTCAGCGGGTCCACCTTCTTGCGCCATTTCAAGGCCTCAAGGAGCTGCGTCTTGGCTTCGGCAGCATCATTGTTGTTTGCACGAAGGAACTTTTGAAGGATGATGGTGGTTGGAACATTGGTGGCGTCCTCGAGCTTCACGCCCCACATCTCACCGTGCTCAGCATCAACGATGAGCTTGGGAAGCTCTCCAAAGAGCTTCGAAAGAGGGGTCTCGGGCTGCTGCTTCTCTACAACAGTCTCTAGGGAGGTCTCGGCAGTCTTGGATTGCTCGGTTTCCGCTGCAACTACTGGGGTTGGCTCGGCAGGCATCTTAGTAGTAGGGGTGTCCTTGGGTTGCTCATTCTCCGCGGGAACCTCTAGGACTGACTCGACAGGAAGTTCGGCAGGAGTGCTCTCCACAGCCTTTTGGGTTTGGGAGGCAGATGGCACTGTTTCGGGCTCCATTGTTTTCAGCAAATCTGCCTTTTTAAGGGGTCGTTATTGCAGAAAGATATAACTGTCAGGGTGCTGATTAACATTGATCAGATTAGATTAAATGTTAAGTAAAAATCTGTCTGTTCCCTTTTTCTATGTATTGTAACCTGAAAACTAAGGAGATATTCCGTATGAGATCACGTGACTATTACAACACACACCCCTATGTTGGGAATCGGGCCGGAAACCGGAGAAAACTCTGTGGTTCTAGAAACCAAAGAATCTCCACCATGGGCCCGAGCTGTCCCATGGCTCTCACCGAACTAGGGCACTCAATCATGGTTCTCACAATTCTGGTGAAAACTCTGCAGTGGAAGGGGCGGCTTACTCGGAAGCCTCGGGGGTTACTGGGAGTTATTTAGAGCCTATAAAAAGTATGCGTAGTTCCATTAGAATAGCAAAAAAAACAATTGCATCATTTTTACCCTGTTCTACATACTGTAATCGTCGAAGCCTTTTTGCCCATTGCGCAAAAACCTGAAGGTCCGACTGACAAAAGCGCCACACGATTTGTGCACGGTGACAATTTTTCGGTCCTTCCCTCAACACCCTACGTATCTCCGTACGATTCCCATAGTAAATTGTATGAGGAAAACAGAAAAAGGGGTGGCTATCTACGGGCTGGTAATACTTAGGCGTGAGTCAAAGTTACGCCTAATGATTCACTGCTGTACAAGTAAACAAGTAGCCCACTTCGGTCCGGACCCTCTATCTTCCTTCTATATTGGTCATCTATACCCTAGTCTACCTGCCTGCCTCCTGCCTGCCCCTATCTGCCCCTATCTGCCCCTACCTGCCCCTACTTTACCCTACGCCAACCTATACCACTTCTCTTCTCGTTAGCAAGTCCGTATGAGCCAAGATGCCTGCTGTTAGCTAGGTCTTTGCCATAGACCTGTCTTAAGGTTTTTGTAGATGCTAACATCCACATTTACCTTCCTCCTACTACTTAGTCCCTACCACGTCCTTTGCCCTCCTAGCACTTAAAGTGTATACTACACTTTCGTATAGGACTCCTACGAATGTTCGCCTTAAACACCTACAAGAAATTGCAGGGTTCTACATCTAGATAGCAGGAGAGAAGGTAGCTTAGACTACACATCTCTAGGCTAAAGGTTGCGAGTAGTGTGATGCTACGTATAGTAAAGAGGGATCTTAGTAGATTCCCTTCTTTGTAGTATGCACATCATTTAGGAATGTGTAGGGTGGTGCCTACGCTTCCTATGTCATGAAACAGTAGGCAGGTAACTGCTCTCTTTATGAGTACTGTAAGGATGCCTCCTTACCTAGATACTCAAAGAACCTGTCTCAGAACTGTTACGGTCACTACAAGCATGAAATCCGACTCGGTGTGGTTTCGAACCAGTAGAGGAGCACATAGCGAGTTACACTATAATGGGGGATGGTAAAGGTGTAGGGTTCAGGGTCGATGCTGACCTGTTGCGGTGGAAGGATCAGGGCTAGGGTTGGGATGACCGAGTCGGGCCCGTTTCGGGTACTTAAGGAAACAGACTCAACGGGGTTCCCCCTTCATCTTTTTTGTATCCTTCATAGTAGACCTATAGGATAGCATCCATTTAGCCTCAAACTCGCACTCTCATATGCTATTACTGTGAGCTGGGTGCCCTGTGTCCTTACATTATACAAAAAAGATCACGCCAGCCGGGGACGGCCGTACTTAAATAATATCCCACACTGGAACGACTCAGGAGAACTACCGTTACACCATCGACTGCGACTCAGTGACGTTTCGGAGGAGAGACCTGACAACTTCAAATAGCCGTGATTCCAGAGATCTCACGGACAGCCAGTGGATCAGGGTTTGATTCTTCAGAACAAGCTGGTAAAGTCGCTGATGCGTTGGCACCAAATAGGATACGAGATCCTTAAGAACCCCCTCCTAGCACAGAGGAAATTGTGGACAAGAGCGTTGATAGCTACGAGCTACCGGAAGTCAAGCTCTTTCGTATCGGTACCGATACACACCCGAGGCAATATGTCAAAAAAGCTGACATCAAACATACCCCAAGACAACGACGGTCAACTGCCCAGAATGACTACCAGACAAACCACCGCTGCAGCTACGACCGCTGTGCCATCCGAAGACATCCCGAGTCGAATGGCCCACCTCGAAGCACAGATACAGGAGGTCAAGGATCTACTAGTTATCCTCTCAGCATCCCAGACCAGAATCCCGTCCACACCGCCGGTGGACGCCCCCATACCCACAGTCGAAGCTACGGAGCAATGAACGCCTCGCACACAAAACACCCCCGAGACAGTTCAATTGCCACCTCTTCGGAACATCGTTCTCCCTCGATTCCAGGGACATCACGAATGCACACCGAGGACCCTCCGAATCGCTATAAGAAATCAACCATCTCTGAGAAAATCCTTCCTCTCAGCGATGGGGTAGAACATACCTTCTTACAATGGAGCGCTTCGATTCGGGACCGACTCGTAGTCAATGAGGACCACTACCTTACCGACGTCTCGAGAAGAGCGTTGATATGGGGAACTACGACCGGCCTGGTGAAGACCTACCTAGAGCCCCAATACCTGTCCGCTACGCATGGGTTCCGCAGTGCTGAGGAGATGATGGATCTACTAGGTTCATACTACCTCACAGGCGACGAGATGGAACAAGCCAGGAACCTCTTCGACGACCTGCAAATGGGAGAGAAAGGGCATGCTAGCGAAACCTTCCCAGAGTTCAAGGCTCATTTCCAAAGTGCAGCTATCACAGGACAAGTCTCCGAGTCGGAATGGTTTCAGTACATGTGGAACAAGTTGACTCCCCAATTCCGCAGCCGCGTCGCGATCATCAAAAACCAATGGAATGGAGAATACCAGACCATGGTATGAGAACTTACCGCCTTCGATCAGGAACGGCGCCGGAACAACGAATTGAATCTGCTACCCGCTCTCACAAGGACGTCCACACGTACCACGGATACTGCAAGGCCGTCGGCGTCGAAGCAGACTCGAGCCACATCTGCTCTGTTCACCCGAACCACGTTCCTCCCCAAGCCAGCCATACCAGAACGTGTGAGAACCGCAGTCCCTGCGCCCTCAGGAAACTGTTTCAAGTGTGGCAAGCCCGGCCATTTCCAGGACAAATGCCCCCTTAACGCTACCCCTAGAAGCGGCCGTATCTGTAGTGCAAATTGGGAATCCCCACGCGAGCGACCCCTGTCGCTCGCGCGCGCACGGGCCATTGTGGAGCGATTATTGTGCAGCAAATTGGGAGACCCCCGGGACGGCGCAGGCGCATCAAGCACGCATACAGAGCATGCAACGAAGGGCGAATAGCGCACACACACTGCTCGCGCAAGGGAAGGATGGCGGCCAGCTTCTCCTACCTCGCAACTCACGGGGTGCTGCTCTGCCGCGACTGCGGGACCTGCCTCATGCCCGCGCGCGCCAGCCAGGAGTGGCACCTGAGGCACCCACCCCACGACCTCAAGGGGCCGGAGCTGCGCACCCTGCTCGACCTCTTCGCGACGCATGAGCTGCGGCCCCCGGGACAGGTCGCCCTGCCAGACCAGCCCTGCATCGCCATCGTGGACTGCGCCGCCATCCGGCATTCTCCTGCATCCTCTGCGACGACGGCCGGCCGACCCTGACCCGGTCCGGGCCGGCCATCAGGGCGCACGTGTCCCGGGAGCACGGGCAGAAGCCGTCGCAGCAGAGTGAGGGTGGCGCGTGGCAGAGATGCACGGTGCAGACCTTCTTCGCAAAGACCGAGCATGTCCGGTACTTTGTGGTTACAGACGACGACAGGGCGGAAGGGGACGCAGCTACTGCCGCCATCGCCCTCGAGCCGCAGGAGCAGGCCTTCTTCGACCTGGCCGACGCGGACGCGACCATGGTAGCGGACGACATCAAGACGGAGGGCAACAAGGTGCACGGCTTCGACAGCCACCCCTCGGCTGCGGTCCCGTGGCTGAGGCGGACTGGCATCGAGAACCACGTGCGGGGCCTAGAGAAGGACGAGATGCACGCCTCCTTTGCGCTGCCGAAGAGCGCAGATGAGGGAGAGCCCGAGCTGTTCCTGATGCTCGAGGTCATGGACGAGATCCTCGCTGAGGTGCACGGCTGGTGCTTCGACGGGCCGGACTGCATGCTGACGTGGCCGAGGCAGCTCGCGCTGAGCCGCTTCCATGGCGCCCCTACCTCATCGGCACCAGCCAGTTGCAGGGCAGGCAGGGTGCGCGGCTTCGACCCCAAGAAGGAGCCATCCACACTGCGCACAAACTTTGGGTACTGGAAGCAGTTCATGGCGTACTGCTACCGCGTCGCCTACTGCGGCAGCCACTTCACGCCACCTCTGAGCGCGGACCAGGGCAGGCGCCCCGAGGACCGGATCCGGCTGACGGACGAGCAGACGACAGCTTGGGAGGCCGCCCTGGAGTGCACTGCCGACGGAGACCGCTTAGCGCTGAACGACGCCCTCCGATCCCTCTGCATGGCCCTCGTCTGCCACGAGTTTGGCGGCGACCGCTTCAGCTCGCCGCTCCTCAGCTTCTGCGCGATGCTGAGCATCAAGCCATGCACCAAGTCGTGGAAGGAGCCGGGCAACTTCAACAGCTGCCTGTCCGGCCTGATCTGGGCTGTGCAGCTGCTCATCTTCAGCACGGCCGCATACCTCGAGAGGTCGGGCGCCGGCAGCACGCTCGAGCACATCAACAGCATCTGCGAGCAGTACCTGCGGCCGGACACGGAGACGCCCATGGGCGAGATACTGGGCTGGCGCCTGCTGCTGTTCGCGGTGTCGAAGGACGGAGTGGGCTCGCACCAGGCGCACTGGGACGAGGACGAGCAGATCCTCACCTACAGGGACGTCGACCTGAACATGGACGAGGTGCAGCAGCTGCTGCTGTCGGAGTTCAGGCAGGCGCAGCATCTGCTGCACGGCGAGCTCATGTTTGGCGCAGCGGGCCTGCCACGGATGCGCGCGTGGGCACTCAAGGACAACCTCGACGCCGACAACTTTAGCTGGCACTTTGGCGAGCACCGGGAGAACGCGGCACTGCTGAAGCCGCTCGCGGGCTCACTGCGCAATGTCATACGGGAGTCGCAGTCACTCCGAGCGTCATTCCTCGACACCACTGCTGCACCTACTGCTGAGGATGGAGAGGATGGAGAGGCTGATGCAGGGGTCACGAGGGTCATGTGGCGACAGAAGGCCATCGACCAGTACGAGGCCGTCGCTGACGAGTTCCTCAAGCGGCTCCTCGTCCTCATCCACATGGCCTCGGGCCAGCCGCTGCGCGAGAGCGAGCTGTTCTCCCTCACCTGGCGCAACACGCAGCGGAGGCGTAGCGTCTACCTCAAGCACGGGCTCGTGATGCTGCACACCACCTACCACAAGGGCCAGCAGCAGACGGGCAGGTTCAAGGACAACATCCGCTTCCTGCCAGCCGCCATCGGAGACCTCCTGCTGGACTACCTCGTCTACGTCGTGCCGCTCCGCCAGGCCTTCCTGCGCCAGTCCTCCCCACGCGCAATCATGTCCGCGTACCTGTGGTGGAAGGACGGGGCCGTGTGGGCCGACAACCGGCTGACGCGGTGCATGGAGCAGGCGTGCGTGCGGGCCAAGGTGCCACGGCTGCACATCGCCAACTGGCGCCAGATGACGGTCAACATTGTGAAGACCAAGTTTGCGGGCGACCTTGCGTGCTTCGAGGGCATCGGGGCCGACGACGACGATGAGGATGCAGAGGAGATGGAGGATGACATCCGGACCATGACGAGGCAGCGGAACCACAGCACGCGGGTGGTGAACCGCAGCTACGCGAACCAGCTGAACGCGAACTTTGGGAATGTGTGGGATGGCCTCATCCGTCGGAACCTGCGCGTGTCATCCCTGTGGAGGGGGCTGTGGGATCTCGACACGGTGCTCGGGGATGCGGTCGCAGCAGCAGGGAAGAGGAAGCGCGAGGCGGCAGAGGTAGCAGGGTCCGACAGGCCGCGGATGCTGAAGAGGATTGCCGTGGGCGTGCACCGGCCGCAGAAGAGGTGGTCTGCTGCAGCCCTGCTGAAGTGCGCGAGGGGGCTCTACCACGACGACAAGCTGCAGTGGAAGTCGGCCGCACAGGAGCGGGCGATGACGGTCGTCATGTCATGGACGGAGCAGGTCGTCGTCATCCTGGGCACCGGCGAGGGGAAGAGCCTGCTGTTCATGCTGCCCTGTGTCCTGCCTGATGCGGGCGTGACGATCCTCGTGCTGCCGCTCGTGTCCCTGCGTGGCGACCTGCTGCGGCGTGTGCAGGAGCTCGGGATAGACCACCTCGTGTGGGCCCCGGGCGAGGAGCGGGACGCACCGCTGGTGTTCGTCACGGTCGAGGCCGCGAGCACGTCTCAGTTCCGGGCGTATGCGCACAGGCTGGCCGCGACGCAGCAGCTCGGCCGCGTCGTGATAGACGAGGCGCACCTCACAATCACGGCGTCCGAGTACCGTCACGCCATGGCCGACCTCGCCCTCATCCGCAGCGTGCGCACGCAGTTCGTCTACCTGACGGCCACCCTGCCGCCAATGCTACAGGCCGCGTTCGAGAGGCAGAACAACCTCGTGAAGCCAAAGGTCGTGCGGGCCTCAACGAACAGGCGGAACCTCTCGTACCTCGTGCAGCGGGCCACAGGGCAGGGGAGCCTGCTAGAAGAGGGCGCGCGGAGGGCCAGGGACGCGTGGCGGGCGAGCGGGCTGCTCGACCAGACCCGAGACAAGATCATACTCTACGTGCGGACACGGGAGGAGGCACAGGACCTGGGCAGCCTGCTCCGCTGCCCGGTCTACACCGCGATGGCCGGCACGGCAGAGGAGAAGCAGGAGCTGCTCAGGACGTGGCTCACAACACCCGAGCTGCCATACATTGTGGCGACGTCGGCCCTTAGCGCCGGCTTCGACTACCCACATGTCCGGCTCGTCATGCACCTGGACGAGCCACGCTCCCTCGTCGACTTTGCGCAGGAGTCCGGTCGGGCTGGGCGCGATGGGAGGGAGGCATACTCAGCCGTGCTCCTGCCGCACAAGTGGCAGTCGCAGGCGGGCAACGCCGGTATGGATGTCGAGACGAGGGCACTCTACCGCTACCTCGAAGGCCGGGAGTGCAGGCGCACGTGTCTGAGTGCGCACCTCGATGAGGCATCAGAGCTTCGGCAGTGCGATGGCACCAGGGATGATGTGGCGTGCGATGTCTGCAGCAGTGGCCCCAGCCCATCACACGTGCCCCGTGACGATGCCACAGAGGCAATGCCGCACACAGGGAGTGCAGCCATCCACGAGAAGCGGCGTTTGGCATACCTCGAGCTCAGCCGCTACAAGGAGGACCTCCTCACCGTGAAGGGGACGTGCCTGCTCTGTCGAGGGCTCGGGGAGCAGTGGGACCACCAGTTCACCAAGTGCCACCAGCGGTTCGACTTCTTCAGGGCGCGCGACCAGGCCAGAAGGAGGGGGCAGGGCCGCGGGCCATGGATCTCAGCTTTCGCGGCGTGCTACTGGTGCTACAACCCACAGTCGGTCTGTCAACGTGCAGACCCGGCCAGTGGCCTCGAGCAGTGCAGGTACGCAGACATCGTGATGCCGCTCTGCTACGGCGTGTTCCACAAGACTGGGGGCGAACAGTGGCTGCAGGAGAGGTTCGGTGAGCAGGCAGTGAGGGCAGGGGCAGCAGGGGCGTTCAATGACGTGGATGTGTTCCTGTCATGGTGTGGGCAGGTGGCCGAGTTTGCAGGTGGGAAGGGCATCTGGGGGGTAAAGATCGCAGCAGCAGCGCTGCTCGAGTTCGAGGCATATTAAACTAGCGAATGGGTGTTCGACTGGTAGCGCCATGTATTTATAATATAGACTGTAGCCATAGAGCCATATTAATTATGTCGTGAGTTGAGAAATATTATTCTCTGCAATTTAAATAAATTGGAACGGATTATAATAATCACACTCCTCGACGAGATATGAACTGCATTAAATTACTGACGATGACACATACCGCCAATACATATGATCTTATTACAGCAATATAAGCTGTATATTAAACGTCGAACTCGAGATGTAGGGTTGACATCTTTTTAAGGTTTTCGCCTAACCGCGTTTGGTTGTGACACTCCCGAACATTGATCGTTGCTATGTTTAGGGCATGGGCTGCCCCCTCCCCATCACCCCCAATTAATCGGAAGCGTTTATAGACCCCCATAGCTCGAATACCAGACTAGCCCTTGGGATATTTCGAGGCAATACTCTAGTTCTGATACTCGTACGATTATCTTATAATTACATACCCAGGTGAGACTGGCAAGGACGAATCCCAACATGCAACTCCCATGTCCACACCACTGCCATGGCCTCTCCCGACCAGGGTTAGAAGATGGGGCATTTTTTAACCGAGATCGCCATTTTCTTAGTGAGATGCCATCAAATCCATCCCCCTTTTCATGTAACTGCGTAGCCCTCGCCCAGACGAACGCAGCCATGCTCCTCCCGGCCTCGGATCTCGACGTTTTTTTTTTCAACCCAATTTTGATGGGGTGGTCAGTCATGTGAGTTGCCACGCAGCTAGCGGGCGTGGCTCGTCTCAGTCTATATCAGAACTTCTACCGTCAAGTCCAAACTTAGTCCTTTACACATTTTTTCCTTCTCGCGCGGCAACCACCCGGCATTTCTTCACACTTTCTTCACGCCAGCACACAGCTCAGTCTCGAGTGGCAGAGGGGCACACCATCTTGTGTCATCTGTCTTTGGGGATCCTAGACTATACCATCTTATAGTGAGGTACCATCAAAACCTGAGCTCGCGCAACAACCACCCAACATTTTTCCACGCTTTCTTCACGCCAGCACACAGCTCAGTCTCGAGTGTCAAGAGGGGCACACCATCCTGTGTCATCTGCCTTTGGGGATCCTAGACTATACCATCTTATAGTGAGGTACCATCAAGACCTGAGCTCGCGGACACCATGCCACCAGTACCTCCATCCAGAAGCGCCACCAGCACCACACAGCCCACTCGCCATATGAGTGGAAGGAGAGGAGGGAGTTCTCCCATAACTGGAAGGCCAAGTTCCGCGGCAATGCCCGGGTCATCACCACAGACCTCGCCTGGACCAACCTCATCACGCCACCCAACCCCAAGGTCACCACCACACTGGAGCAGGGCCTCGAGCTCAGCAAGCACCTCACGCTGCTCCAGGGCATCCCCAAGGATGGTGGGAAGGATGGCCTCGACATCCAGCCCGTCACCGTCTTCAACTCTGCTGACAAGGACCCAGAGCAGCTCCTCGTCTACATGAGGGGGGGCTGAGCCTCCCGGACAGGAACAAGGACCTCTGCCGCCTCATGGCTGGTGCCATTGAGCAGTACACGGAGCTCGCGCCACCCCCCAAGCCCAGCAGTGACAAGAGGCACGAGATGGAGCAGGCCAGGAAGGCTGAGCGCGAGGGGAAGAAGTGGGGAGTCTACCACCTTGGGTTTGTGGCACGCCACAGGCCAGACAAATTCGCCTCCCACCATCTGCTCTGACATGCGCAGGACTGGAAATGGCTTCGGGGCCACCTGGCCCTCTACAAGAAGATGGCCCCCCTCGCGCAGACCATTGGGAGGCTCTTCCAGGAGATCGATCCCAGGGCCTACGAGCAGTACAGGCAGAACTACCTCCGCGAGTGTGCAGCCACGCCTGAGCTGGAGGTCTTCAAGTTCAGCAACAGGAGCTGCTGGCACTGCCTCGCGATCCTGATAAACGCCCAGGTTGGGCCACACAAGGACAACCACGATGTGCTGGATGGCTGGGTTGCGATGGCCTGCTTTGGAGAGTTCGAAGGAGGGGAGCTGTGCCTGCCAGCCCTTGGTTATAAGATTCCCTTCCAGCCAGGGGATGTTGTCCTGTTCCGCTCTGCAGTCCTCGAGCACTGGATCGCACCCTTCGAGGGCACGCGCTACTCCTGCGTCTTCTTCACGAAGCAGAGCAACTGGCAGCCAGGTGAGGAGGAGTAGGGAGCTTGTCCCATGGCCCATTTTCGAACTCACGTTCTTGCAAGGACTGTAAGTTGACAGCCTCGCGACCGATGTAAATGTTCGCTGACGTCTCTTGTGCAGCTTTGCAAGGGGAACAAATTGACGTACTCTGATTGTTGATCAGACTTCAGATGGTGGAGACATTCCGGTTCTAGTCGGGCGATGCATGGGAGGGGTGGTTGGGGGGGGCATGTTATAGGATGGATTGTAAGAACCTGACGCAGCATGCAGACGGTGCGTTCGATGGCGTTAATAAAAGAGATTTGCAAGACGAATCAAATGACGTCCTCCGATTTGTGATATGAGTTGAGACGGGTGAGATATTGCAGATTTCGCTGGGGCATCAGTGGGTGTGGT